GCGAGAGAGAGAGAGAGAGAGAGAGAGAGAGAGAGATAAAGAGAGAGATAACAAAAAGAGAGAGAGACTGAGGCAATGAAAAAACTCAAAAAATGGAAAACGTGCAAAAATGGTAAGAAGGAAAGAAGTGAAAGAAGGAAGAAAAAGAAATGAGTTGAAAAAAAAAATAAAAGAAAGGTAAAAACATAAATCGGAAGAGAAAATTATAAAAAAAGGTGATGGAAATAAACATTAAACAATGGAACAAAGAGAGAATAAAGAGAAATAGAAGTAGGTGTGAATGGATGAAAGTGAGAAATTAATTGTGGGTGAGAGAGTGAGGATAGTGGAGGAATGAATGGAGGATAAATTGTGAGAAAAATCATTTCGGTTTGGCGTCATCAAATTTCTTTTTGTTTGTCTCCGGGTTTTTTTTTATTTTTGAGACTATTTTTTGTATTGCCTACTTATTTTATTTTTTATTTTTGCTCCAATCAAAATAAAGAAAACACTGGAAATGAAGATGAATATTTAATTTTTAAACACGCTGGATAGTTCGGAATGATGGTTGGAATAGTTGGGCGGAAATATCAATGGCAGAAAGATGGGGTGATAGGAAAACGTGAGAAAAAAAGAGAGTGAAACAGGAAGGGCAAGAAAGATAGTGAGGGGAAATATGTTGAGACCCAAAACACACCACAAACGCCACGTTTAAAAAAAAAGAGTGAATGAAAAAGAAAGGAAGAAAAAAGTAGATAAATATAAAAAAGAAATAAATGATGATATAGGAGATAAAGAAGAAAGTAAAAAAAAAAATAAGCAAGAGATTTAAAAGGATTTTAAAGGAAAAATATAAAAGAAAGAAAAAAAACAAAGGAATTGAAATTAAGAAAGAGAAAGTAACAGAAACTAGAATTGAAAATAGAGAAAGAGAGAGAGGGAAAAAAAAGAAAGAGAGAGAAAAAAAAGAAAGAGAGAGAGAGAAAGAGAGAGAGAGAACGAAAGAAATGAAATAGAAATGTGTGTGTGTGGTAAGTTTTGTGAAAAGAACATTGGGAGATTATGGAAAAGGTTAATTGCTGGTGCCTAACATTTTCGGTTTTGTTTTGTTTTGGTATCTGCACTGTGGTTTGTCTGTCTGTTTGTTTATGTGTTTGTGTGTTTGTTTGTTTATGTGTTTACGTGTTTGTGTGTTCGTTTATTTATGTGTTTGTGACTTTGTATGTTTGTGTGTTAGATTTTTGCTCACTTTTCTGTGACCTGCATACGCTTAAAATTATTCGAAAATTGTTAAAAATATTTCTACAATTGTTGTTATTATTTTTGTTATTATTAGTATTATTATTACTAGTAGTAGTAATTCATTTTCAAAATTAGTAGTAGTAGTTGTAGTAGTATTAGTGGTAGTAGTAATAGTAGTAGCAGTAGTAGTAGTAGTAGTAGTAGTAGTAGTAGTAGTAGTAGTAGTAGTAGT